CCCACCCCACCCCACCCCACCCCAAAAAACAAAAGAGTAACACAGAAAAAGAAAACCTCCGCACACTATTAACCAAAGAGAAAAAACAAAATAAAAAAGGACTCTTCTTTCCCCACTCTTTTCTTGCATAGGAAAACTTGGAACTTGGAAATTGTTACACAACTCAAATGAAATATAAAAAGTACAACCCGAATACATATCATTTCCTGGATGAGTGTTAAATGAGTGGGTTCGAGTGTTAAATGAGTGGGTTCCACTAATAAAGTTGATGGGTCTCACTTATCTAAAAGATGATATAAATTTACGTTGCAACTTTTTTGAATTTTATTTGAATTATGTAGCATTACTCGAGAATAAATTATAAATGTTGTGACTCTTGCTGCTCTTGGCTTGTTGTATGCTTTGACTTTTGAAGCTGAAATGAAGGAGGAATTGGTCGTGGGAGAGTTTGAAAATTAGGTCAAAGGCCTTGTGAATAGAAGTGTACCACCATCCATTCAATTGTCCCATTGGAATTTATAACATCTATAACGATATATGCTAATGACCGGTGGCTAGATACATGGGGCATTCATTCATTGTATTTGAAAAAGCCGATGTTATTGGTCAAAAGAGTGAAGCATCCTTTACCATGTTAGATTCTCTCAATTCTCCTAATGCCAGATCAGGCACTGTTCATTGGTTGGAGAATCTCTTTGATCAAAAAATGATAGTTTAGTGCACGAGACTCACGTTTGACGTCACCGTTGAATTTAGAAAGAATTAGATATATGTAATCTTATTTCGCATTGAAGAATGTCTTAAATTAATAGTGAGTAATATAACATTGAAAAAATTGAACGATGAGTCGTGTCAAAAGCTAGTTTGCATATGATGCACCTAGATTTAGAAATGATAAACTATTAAACTGACTTCTATTCTTCTGCCAAAAGTAGAAAATTCTTCTACTGTACTGGTTTATTATGAGATTTGGATGTTTTGTTCTTCACACTGTGGGCTCTATCCATGTGCAACACAACATGCAGACCTAAGAGTAAGTATTATGCCCGCCCTTGGCAAAAACTACTGAATAGTCGGTTTCACATTTAATAGAATGGGGATGTTGGAGAATAATGGACAGTGGGCCCACCATATTTAATGGGCCCTCTGTGGACCAGATTGTGGAGATAGAGCCCATCAGTTGTTTAAATGAAGGGAGGTGGACCAAACAAGTTGTGGATGAAGAGAGGAAAGAGGAGGGAGACCTTTTCATTACACTTGGATTATTGATTTTTTATACAAAATCCTGATAACTAGTAAATGAAAAAGCCTCATCTTCCTTTGTACAAAAATGCCCAAACCACTCTAAGACTTGGGATTTCCTGGAGAGGGCTGCTCTCTGTTATCGGAAACAGTGACGGGATCAAATTGTGTATATTATTAGTCTGTTCCCTGATTTTGTAATTACGGGAGGCTCAAATACTAGTTTGTCTTTCCTTTCTACGTAGAGATCATTTCACTACCGATGCTACCATATTGTTAGAAATGTGATTTGCATCTTCGATGGCATGCGACCGCAACGGAATGCTCTCTATGCTTGGTTTCTTCTCTCCAGATTTTGCCAATGTCTTGTGCTACTTTGATGGCATCTAAGGATGCACCAGAGAGACCTCTCCTTGTGAAACCAACTGCATAAAGCCCAGATTTTCCTTTCCACCCATTTGGGAATGGAGATTTTGGAAGCCCTTCCCTGGAGAAAAATTCTTCCTCCTGTGCAAAACAAAACATTGCAAACAACTTTAGGTGTTTTTCCTTTTCTAGAAAATAGTTCCTACAAAGACACGGGTCACGGGTGCATTCTGAGATAAAGTTCCCAGTTGCATATTTAGTTAATGCGTGTGGTTTGCGGGTAGATGGTCACATTCTTTCAGGATTTGTGCTACAGCCATGATTCATAAGTCTAAAGGATGTATAGTTGGGACGATCCTCGATTACCCAAAAAAATTACATATCGTGAGGATACTTTAACTGTTTTTAAACAAAAGAGGGGACTTGGTCATTTAAAATTACCAAACAGGACTCTAGCATCTAACCAGGTTCTGAGTATTCTAGAGTTTAGATCAACATAAGCAACATCATGGTGTTCGGGGTACAAAAGGTAATACACTGTCTGTTATGGCACAAATAGTCCAAAGACACTGCCCATATATCCATTTATCAGTCTTTCTTGGAAAAACCACTCTAATTGTTGGAAAATGCAATTGGATAGCAGAAAGGTCTAAAATATTGTATTGATGATTGAAACAGAGATATGAAAAACAGAACCCAACAACCTGATCAGTAACAGGTTTCAGACATAGCACCAAAGAATCTAGAAGAAACCCAACTTCCATAACTGTCACATGAACCATAAACAGAAAACTAACTTTGACATAAATTATAATCTGGTTAAGACTTCGATAACAAAGCGATACGATGCTAAAAATTACTACCTTTTTGGTTCAAAATATAATTTTTTTTAAGGTTAAGTTACCACAATAAAGGTTAATCGATTCGAACAACTCTATTTTGCTATAACATACCCCCAAAAAGTTTTAAATTTGGGTATGATAAAAAAAAAACTTTTAATTTTTTTTATAAACTGATGATGTTAAATTTTTTCTCTCACCTTGAACCATGAAGGGACATTGCTGCTATACCCAGTTGCCAAAATTACAGAATCAATCTCAAGTGTTTCACCATTAACAAGCTCAACTCTGCCAGGCAAGAACTTCTTGATTCCAGGGACTATCTTGATCTCACCAGATCTAATTTTGTGTAATGTACCAATGTCCAAGACGGGGGTCTTTCCTTCTGTGTTCTTGAGCTCTAAAGGACCCATTGACGGCCTTCTCAGACCGTACTTTTCTAGATTTCCAAGACTCAATCTTGCAATAAGCAACAGTATTCTATCAACAAGCCAAAGTGGCATCCATTTCATCATCGAAACTGCCAAATCAAACGTCGATTTTCGTAAAATTTCCCTTGGCAGGACATGAACCTGTGGATGAATCAGGCAAAAAAAAAAAACCCAATTATAAATTGGAATTGCAGAGGTAAATACTGATTCAGAAGACTATTATGTGATTGTAATTTTGAACTCACCGAGCTTCGGACCACCATTGATGGAGTTGCATTGTGGTGGCAAAGATCAAGAGAAACTTCCATGCCTGAATTGCCACAACCGACTACTAATACTTTCTTCCCTTGATAAGCCTCCCCTGATTTATAGTCACAAACATGCATGACATGGCCACCAAAGTCTTGCAAGCCTTCGAATTCTGGGACAGCCTTTTCTGCATTCTCTCCTGTAGCTACCACAAGCCATCTACAGATGTACTCGGTCTCACCCCTCCTCGTATCATTAGTCATAACTGTCTTGACACGCCACAAACCGCATATTTCATCATATTTAGCAGACTGCACGGACTCATTAAACCGCGGCTTAATCTCAAAGTGTTTAGCATAAGATTCAAGGTAGTCGATGAACTGATATTTGGTCGGGTATTCAGGGAAATGGGCTGGAAATGGGAAGTATGGAAGTTGGCAAAACTGTTTTGGGAGGTGAAGCTTCAGACGATCATAAGTTCGGTTTTGCCATAGCGAGGCAATGCAGTTGGCACGTTCAAGCACGATGAATGGCACTCCTTCTTGTTTGAGGCCAGCACCAACAGCTAGACCTGATGGCCCTGCTCCAACGATGACAGGGCCGTTCACCAGTATGCACCGGTGAGCAAAGAAGTCTTCATGTTCATGAGCCATTAATTTTGGTTTTTTAAATTAAACAGAGGCCAAGACAGCTTTGGGAAGGCAAAGGCGCGGATTGATTATTCTCGTCTTGATCCTAATAGCTGTTACAATATTCGATGAGTTGGGTTGAGGGAGAGGGCGATTATTGATGCCTTCAACTCGACTCGTCTTTGAATGAAGATGTTATGCCAAGTAGCATTCAAAAATCAGATAGAGAAGAGGAAGAATGATTAGACATTGCTTTCAAAGAGAAGGAAAAAGATTAGCTCAAGAGAGATGAATGGAACATAGATGAGAGGAGAGAATGTTATAGAATGTATTTTGTTTGAAACAATGTGTGGAGGGGGTTAAGAGGGATGGGGAGGTTTAAATAGGGAAGTTGGCCATGAGAGTAGCGTGTGATTGAGATTTGAAAATAACGCTTTGGGACTTATTTGAGGAATTCTTTGTTTAATGCATATACCATATTGGTTTGTTGTGTGTGTATGTGTGTGTATATGTATAGCTTTTGTGTATATAACTCTCGGTAGCACTATGGTACCATACCTTATTTTTATAATCTATAAGATCGTAAATGTATAAAACTTTATTATTATACTATTTCACCTCTTTATTTTATTATTTTTACGATCGATGACTATAAATAACTCAAATTAAAATTCACATCTGAAAACGATTTCTCGTCGTAATACCGTTTCGGTACTTGAGTGCGGGTATATAATTAAATATGTTTGTGCTCGTGTGTGTGTGTGTGTGTGTGTGTGTGTGTGTGTGTGTGTCAAAACTCAGATGTCACTGAGAAAATACTATGGAATTCCATATCCATGACCATGAGCATGACCCTTTACATAAACCTTGTCATTCTCTTTTGTAAGCTTAGTAAGACTAGAATGATCACCTAGATTAGCTAAAGGGTGTACCTAGTACACAAGACTCCCACCATTGTGGGGTCTGGAGTGGGCGGGCCTTGGCGTAACAGTGAGTTTATTCCATTGTAACCTGGAAAACAGCCTCTACTTGTAAGACTAGATTAGCTATTTGTAACACATACCCTACAGAAAAAAAGGACCAAAGTTGGCACATGGTCGACCTGCAAGCTTCCCGTGGGTTGGTTCTCTACTATAAGGCCCCATTACTTTGAGACAAGAAGTATCCTGTTGGTAGCAGTTTTTGAACTCTTCCAGGACAAAGATCTGCTATCTCAAAACAGTCTGGCTGCAGATCTTACATCTGATTCAGAAATAAAAAAAACGTACCCAGTATACAAGGTTTCCGTCTATAACAAGGTCTGGAAGAAATCAGTGCTGATGAAACTTATCCGAGAGTCTGATTTCTGACCTCGAACTGATAATGTATCGCTTGAACAGATGAACACTTGCCCAACCTCTATATCCTACATAATTTTTTTGTGACAACCTATCTGCATGTAGTCAATGGTCCTAATCCATTTACAATCTGGCTGGCAATTGAATCTTTTCACAACAGCCCTGGACCATTGCTTATCAGTGTATTTATACCAAGCAATTGTCTAAGGAAGAAGGATCAATCACCCCAGGAAGTGGCTCCTTAACCTTTCTTGTATTGGATTTTGCAGATAAAACTTCATGCACATCTTCCTCACCAAGATCAAATCTTGCCACATTTTTCGAGCACCGACACAGGAAAAACAATTGGGTCATAAATCGAGAATTTGGATTGCTGGTTTTCTCAAAAAACTTCTTATGAAAGATATTGGTGGTAGAGGTGACACAAATGGAATGGAAGCACAGAGATGGTGGCAGTACAAAGTTGAGGACTAGCATAGCATTTCCATGGTGGTGGGAGAGGAGGGTTGTGGTGGTGCTGGTGATGAATGGTGGCAGTCGAAGTGGTACTAGTGGCCAGCATAGAGTGCAATAAAACGATTGGCCGTAGCATTGTGTTCATATAATGTCAAAGATTAAGTTTATATCCGGTGCATTCCTCTAAACAGTAATCAAACTGGATAATGAGTCGTCAATAATACAAAACATATGATAGGCCACATCATGTCATTTTGCTGCTTCCTGAGATTAATTACAGCATGGGTCTGTAATGAACTTGTTTTTGTTTGGGTGTCTAGGTTTGTTTTTTTTTTCTGGAGGGGGGGGGGGGGGGGGAAGTGTGGGTGATGATGGGATGGTAGTGATTGTGGTGGTAGGTGTAAAAATGAGCAAGTGTTTTTAAAGTAAAAACTTTCTTCTTCTTTTTTTATAAATTTTTCTAATAATCAACTGAAGTAAATGGTAAAACCAATTATACTTATTCAAAAAGTACTTTGCGATTGAAATACTATCTTTTTTTTTTAAATCCTCAGTTTACCATAAGAAAAGTAATTTTGTTTTTAAGCAGAATACAAATTTCATCAGAAAATTCGCATCCCTCATCTCTTTCTTGTTTTTGACTATTACTTTGGTATACGAAAATCTTGTAAGGTCATAAACCATCAAGTAAAAACAAATCAACACACATAAGAAAGACTTATAAGCCAAATGAATAAGATATTATAGACGCCTGCATTTTTAGAATTAGAGAACTTTCATTGAACATTAAATTAACTTGACCAAAATTGGANGGGGGGGGGGGGGGGGGGGGGGTGGAATGAGACCTCCTTTAAGAAAAGAGCTTATGGGTAACTCTGCTTATTATATGGAAGAAGATATAAAATCAATTCATTGTGTTTCTTGAAATGAAATGTTGGAATTAAAACGATGGTGCTCATTCGCTCAAACGACACGCACCATGATTAAATTGAGGAATTAGTCTCTCTGAAATGCGGGTAAGGCTAATTACTCTCCAAACTTGTACATTAAATACGACATTTTTTCGTCAACTTTTTAAGACTAAAATTATCAATGTGTTTTCAGTGTCCACAGGGTGATGCTGACAAGGATACAACAACGTGCCCACGTTGAGTAGGTAATCCTGAACTGCAGCTTGGGGGGGCTCACTTCCCCTGTGGAATTTGAAACCACACCACCACCTACATGCAGATTACAACATGAAACCAACAACCTATGCTCTGTTCTAGTATGGAGATTGCAGAAGTTGTGCCCACAAAACCCAATCACCCCAATCATTGTGATTTGTAGCATGACAAAAAAGCTAAGAACTTGGCTATGGTACTCAAAGTAAAATAAAATTTGGTACCATATCCACAAATTTTACTATTTTAATGGATATTTTTATAATTTTTGTGAACAAAAAAATTATTATTTTTGTGGATGATTTATTATTTTTGTGGGTGTTTTTACCGTAATTATTTTTATCAATTTTGTGATCCTTGCCATCAATCATAAAAAAGTGATGAAAATAATTACTATAACAATGATAAAAATATTCAAAAAATGATAAATGTCGGTATGTTATCGAATTTATTTTTTTAAACTTGTCCCAAAGCTAAATTAACTGATATATATTCTGTAGTAGCTATCTATGCCATTTAGTCATTGACCCAAACCCAAACTAATATACTAAATGGTAATAAATAAACAAAAAGGGTCATGGAAAAGAAGAGATGCATGTGCTTGTTGGAACCTCTGCTCTTGATAGTCTCTTCTTTTCATGAAATAATGAGAAGGTAGTGTTTGGTTTTTGTTTTGATATTTTCCAATGGCTTTGGAATGAGGGTACAATCATCATTCCAAAATTTTCATGACAATTTGTGTGTGTGTGTGTGTTTTTTTTAAAAAAAAATCACAAAATACTTTTGCGATAGTTTGTATAAATAAGATAGTTAGCCTCCTAATGCAAATCCAACAAGATTTTGTATTTTAACTACCTAAAAGTATATTTTTTCTATTTTAGCTACTTTTTTTTAATACACATTTCAAGAAATTTTCTATATTTTAACTACTACTTTTAAATATTATTTTACATATTTTGTACCTTTGTTGATAATGTTAGAGGAAGAGAGAGTATGGAGGAAAAAATAGAGAGTGAACAAGAGAGGTGGGAAAGGATAGAGAGAGAAAAAATTATAACTTATTTATACAAATTACTACAATGATGCTCAATATTTAAAATATCACTATAACAAAAAGTTATTTTAGAGCAGTAATTATCTTTGAGTAGCTATTTTGAAGTTACATGTTCTGTTGGAGATGATCTAAAGCAATAACTGTGTGTGTTTGTATTCAGTTTATATTTCATCAGGATGTGAGGAATTTGGATCCTATGAAGTTACACTTAAAGTAGTGTGATCCAAGACAACTGCATGATGAGAATCCTGAAACTAAGATTTAATTGTACTTGAACCCAACTTTTATAGGCAATGGCAATGCTATGAAATCTTACTGCACGATTCTCATTGTACCATAGTGTTGAGTTGCATTTCAATTTCTAAAGTTCAATTGAATTTCAACGTATCATATTTTTTTCAAACCCGAGAAATCTCAATAAACTTCAATTTTTAAAATTCAACCCAACTTCAACGTATCACATTTTTCTGAATCCGTTAAAACAAAGTAATTTCAGCCAGGTTGTGAGAAGGCCTACTTGGGGCCATGATGCCGTTCCTAAGAAACTTTTGGAGTCTAAGATAGAGGGAGGGGGGAGGAGGTTCCCAACTTTCTCTTGTCATTGTTCCTTTATTTCTAACAAAAAGTTTTAGAATCATAGTCATTGCTAGTGGTTGTACTTTCTATAAACTTATGCAGCAAAAGTGTTGGTCAAAATAGTTTCTTAGTACTTTCTATCCATGCGCAATCAAAAGTCCTATAAAGTTTGAATTCATTAGGATATTACCGCCTTCCTAGAAGTCAAGTAGCTATAATACACTAAATATAGTATATATATAATCATTCAGTTCAAATAAATATACTGTTTAGCATTTGAAGTAATGACTTTAGAATCTCGCGCCGTCTCATCTCACCTTCAATTGGGGGTCCTTTACCTTTAACCTTTATGATTCTATATAAATTCACCTAACTCAAAAGTGAAAAAAAGGAGATGTTGATTAATCTATCAAACTAATTCTGATACGAATATATCAA